GCACACATGATTTTAACAAACCTTCAAAGTGTAGTGAATAGTCCACACTTCTTCTCTTGCTTCTGGTGAAGTGTTTCTGGACTTGTTTCCTCTCTGGAGAGAATCAAACCAAAATACTAAAGACGGCTTTTTATCTGCGGGTTTTATTTAAAGCTAAAGATATTTATAAAATTAAAAGAAGCTGACAAAATGCTTGTTGTTGTATAGAATCTGAAATAGCCAAAACTATTTTTCTCTAATATATTTTTGGTAGAGTTGTGTATATTTTGTAAGGTTGTAATGTGGAGGTGTCTGTGTGTCGGCGTGGCGCTGGTTCCCTGTGCAGCCGTTCTCACGTGTTGCTGATCAGTGTCGAGACAGTAGATGAGCATCAGTTACTGACACCTTCATGTCAGAGTGAGGCCCTTGAGGGTCTCAAGTTTCCAACAGCCTGAACTGGTGAGGAACATGTGGACGATTTTATTCTCTGCAGGACAAAAGTCCTTTCTCGCTTTACTCAATAGATTTGATGTTAAATGGAGCGAAACGTTCCTCTGGCCTGCTGACTGCAAACCTGTGTGTGTGTGTGGGGGTGGGGGGGTGGGGTGGGGTCTCAGGGTGCGTTTGGTTTACTGCACTGTTCATGTCTCATTAGTCTGGGTGTGTGTGTCATTTGGCTTCATGTTGCAGACCTGGCACAAAACTAAACTTTATGGGGTAGTACAGATTCATGACCCTAATTGAACTCTGGGTATGAGTTTATTAACCTTCCAGTTTGTGTGGAAACCACTGAAGCTACTTTCGTCACTTGAACTTTGATGTTCTCTGACCATTAGAAACAGAAACCGACAACGTGTTAATGTACGTTCAAACACTGCTGCAACATGTTTCGTAACAGAGGCTTGACACTGCTGTTTGCCCCAAAACAAAATATGTACTGCAGCTTTCACTGCCTTTCATGGGTGAGGCAGACATATTGGATTTTGAAGTTCTCTCCAATATTCTAAGATGTACGACAGAGCTTTAGGGCCACACTAAGAAAAATAAATTACACAGCCACACTAAGAAAAATAAAAAATTACATTGCCACGCTAAGAGAAAATACAATTACATTGCCACACTAAGAAAAATTAAATTACATTGCCACACTAAGAGAAAATACAATTACATTGCCACACTTGGAAAAAATAAAATTACATTGCCACACTTGGAAAAAATAAAATTACATTGCCACACTAAGAAAATACAATTACACTGCCACACTAAGAAAAAATAAAATTACACTGCCACACTAAGAAAAAATAAAATTACACTGCCACACTAAGAAAAAATAAAATTACACTGCCACACTAAGAAAAATTAAATTACATTGCCACACTAAGAAAAATTAAATTACATTGCCACACTAAGAAAAATTAAATTACATTGCCACACTAAGAAAAATTACATTACATTGCCACACTAAGAAAAATTAAATTACATTGCCACGCTAAGAGAAAATACAATTACACTGCCACGCTAAGAAAAAATACAATTACATTGTCACGCTAAGAAAAAATAAAATTACATTGCCACGCTAAGAAAAAATACAATTACATTGCCACGCTAAGAAAAAATACAATTACATTCCCACGTTAAGAAAAAATCAAATTACATTGATACGCTAAGAAAAAATCAAATTA